AACAGCTGCACCCTCTAGTGGTAAGTAACATTACAACAATCAAAGAAATTCCTTCTGTTATCAGCTGATCAGATTGAACTAATTATAATCTAATAAATTACTATTTGACAATTAATATGAGTTTGGTATTTGTTAACATTACTATTTTGAACTGTTTGATGTTGTTGCTACGGGTTATGTGATCTCTAATCATTGCATCAGAGGCAACCGGGCCTCGCCTCACGAGGCGGCGGTTTAAACGTGTAACGGGCATGGACGTTCGTCCAAGCAGACGGCCAGAGGGGGCGCAGTCAGCGGTGGTGACTCAATCAGTTCAAACACACTCATTAAAAAAGCAGCTGGTGATATCTCTTCACATCTCCGTCCACTCGTGTGTTCCTGCCTGCATGTTAAGGGGCGTACATGTGTGTGTGTAAATGTCAGTGAGCAATAAGGCAGCTGGTGGTGTATGCTGGGGGGCATCTCGGTCCCCCCCACCCCCAACCCCCCCCTTGTCAGAGTCACAGAGTGTGCTGCCATGATGTGCCCACTGGCAAAGCCTACCTCCTCCCCGTTCTCTCCCTCTGTCTCGCCTCCCTTTCTTTGTTTCTTTGTATGCTTTCCTCAGTCTGCGTTTATCCAACCTGCTCTTATTATCCTGTTATTACAGAGCAGATAATGTCATTCCGACACTGTCTGGACATCTGACTGCCCCCTCCGTGACCCCTCGTCTTGCTTTCCATCCTCCCCAGCCTCAGTGTGTGATGGTGAACGCTGCTGGCAGCTGTGTTAGAGAGTCACACTCTGCAGTTTACTGCCCCTGTCTCTCTTTTTGAGGCCTGATGTGATGGGGCATCGAGCAGCTCACACACATTTGTTACCGACACACTGGAAGTGTGACCGCTGCCGAGTCGTGCCTCCAACCAAAAAAGAAGACGGCTCAGAAACGTGTCCCTCTGCCAGGATGATTCACTCAGAGGAGAGAAACTGTCAGGTTATTTGTCAGTGAGAGTGCCACACACCTATAACGTGAAGCTGTCCAGACACCTCCTTTGAGCCAAAACTGTTGGTGACCTCGCAGGCGTAGCTGCCGCTGTCCTCCTGCCTCAGGTCGCTGATGGTCAGCCCGGTCAAGCGCCGAGTCCAGCGGGCGTCCGAGGGCAGAGATCGGCCATCTTTCAGCCAGCGCACGGTTGGGCTTGGGTAGCCGCCCGCTATGCAGGGGAGCTCGATGCTCTGGCCTGCATACACCTCCCCGGCTTGGAAACTGTCCAAGATGGTGGGCGAGGACTCGCTAGGGTCTGAGGGGGGAGATGGAGTTTAACAAAATAACAAAAGTAAAACAGACCAGATAAAAAAAAACCCAATTCTCACCCATTACTGAAAGCCTGGCCCCGTTGCTTTGCCGTGTTTCACCGCTGTACTTATGCTTGGTGATGCAGCGGTATGTGGAGAGGGCGTCTTCTTTCTGAACATCAGAGATGTAAAGAGCTCCAAAGGAGGTCAGAGAGAAGCGGTTACCTGAGAAGGAAGCATGGGACACAGAGCAATAATGACTCATTAAAGGAAAAGTGGGAGTTCAGGGATATTATTTTAACAGAAGCTAATGGTTCCATTTGTCTACAAAAGTCAAAACTTTTTACTTCCAAGTCATAAATTTCAATTGGAAACAGGCCTGAAACAATTAATCGTAATTCATCGATTATTGAATTATAATTATATATTATATTATAATCATCAACTAATGTAGAGATCAATTAATCATTAACTGGAGACACATTTTGCTGAAAGAGTGACCTACTTAAAGCTGTCATTATATCAAATTTTTGAAAATATTTGTAAACATTTTGCATTTAATCAATCCAAAATGTATTAATATAGCACTTTACAACAACCAGCAGGGTCCCAAAGTCCTTAATAAATTCAGTATAGTCACAACATACAATAGAAAGAGTGAACATAGAAAACATTAAAAACAAAAAGGTTACAAAGAATAAAATTATCACCCCACTGCTATGTATCAAAAGCCAGCCTGAACAGATATGTCTTTACTTTGGACCTTAAAAGAGCGATATCTGCCACAGTGCGAATATCCGGGCTAACGTGTCTCGGGGCATAAATTGCACAGTTTATATCTCAACTTTGGGTCTTCTAAAACCAGCTGACTTGAAGACCGCAATGAACGGTTATGCTGCCGCGAAGTAAAAATGTAAAACAAATACTCTAGGGCGAGACAATTTAAAGCTTTAAAAACAAACAATAAAATCTTTAAAACTATTCTAAAATGCACCAGGAGCCAATGCACAGTATAGAGAAAGGAAGTGACCTGTACACGTGTGGATGTATTAGTTAGAAAGCAAGCAGCAGCATCTTGCACAAGTTGAAGGTGTGAGATGCTCATTTTTATAACATTACTGATTTTTACCAGCCGATCTGGTGTAAGGGGCCAAAGCTCCCGAACTCAGAGCTGGGCCATTCTGCGTACCTGGAGTACTGAAAATAATCCATTTTGTTTTACTTTCATTCAAATTAAGAAAATTGTCTGAAAGAAACAACTTAATATCAGTAATACGACCAAGCAAGAAGTTTACTGTCCTTTGCTTTCATAAACAAATAGATTTGTAAATCATCTGTGTAGCAATGAAATGACAGGTTGTGCTTCCTTGATCGCCCCTAAAGGCAGCGTATATAAAGAAAACAGAATAGGACCAAGAATAGATCCCTGTGGTACCCCAAAAGAGAGAGTAGCAATTGACAAAAGAGACGTCACCAATCATAACAGAAAAGTTCCTATTTGACAGGATGGAGCAGGACCATTTAAGTGTTGAGCCTATCTTTAAGATAAAAAGAACTTTCCGTCTGTCAATATGCTCTATCCAGAACTCCTCAAGTGTAATAGTTTTAGTTTCACCTGGTTTCATTTAATAAAAAGTCTTCTTTAGAGGCGTGCTTTGGTGGAGCAGGGGTTAGCACACATGACCCATGTACGGAGGCCTTAGTCCTTGATGCGGCCGACCCGGGTTCAAATGTGGCCTGTGGTTCTTTGCCGCATGTGTCTCCCCCTCTCTCATACCCCTTTCCTGTAAGCCTACTGTCCAAAAAACTTGCCAACAGTGCAGTAAACCCTCCCCCAAAAGTCCTCTTAAACCAATCTTTGACTATCCAATTATTAAATGATTTGCAAAATAAATTTCGGTTGCAGGTACAATACAAAACGTCGAATCAGAAGTTGGAAATTTGGTGCAACAGGATGGTACCACATTTCCACATCCAAAATGGATGCTACCCCCATTACTACATGGACCATTTATAGCAGTCAGACGTTAACAGCATTAATCAGTGGATCAGGTACTACAGGAAGGTGTTTGGAGGACGATAAGTTTCAGTGCTAGTTACATGCACAGAATGGTCTCGTTTCTCTCCTAGAGAGCTATGCGCTAAGTCTTTACTCTCATTGAGAGACTCATTCCTTCTTTTTCGACACAGTAAACGATTCTTAGCTCATTTCCTTAACCGTTTTTTCTCAATGCTACTTCCAGACCAAATTTGTTTTGAGAATCTAGGGCGTCTGGTCTGATGTTGGAATAGGAAAATCTTAATTTTTGCAGCTGGATGCAGACCATCAACCAATCAGAGAAGATGAACCAGAAAACGTTTGGGAAACAGAAGCTACACGCAAGCCGTGATCACTTCTACAGAGCAAGTAAATCAATATAAAGATGTCAAACTCAATTGGTTTTACAAAAGCCAGGAGGATGGATTCTTTTGGATTCTCTTATTATTATTAATCAACTTAAATATATTGTTACTAAAAAGTGGCGAAACAGATTAATACCTACATTGACAAAATATGTTAAAATCTACCAGGGGAAAAGTTTGATACTTGCATTTTACCACAAACCTAAAATATGCTTTCTAACCATTTTTAGATGGGAAATTTCCGACAGTTGGCTGCAGAGACCTTTTCCTGTGGACTCCCAGCAGCACTATCACCTGCCCCGTAAGGTAGGGGGACAGTGCTCTAGCTCAGACACGTACCAAAAAGAACAGAATACAGACTGTAAATTATAAGAAAAGAACAGAGCAGCTCAACAACCAGTCTCACTTCATAATGCACATGCATCCAAAATGCCTGGTCCAGCTGGAGGTTTCTTCCTGTTAAAAGGACGTTTTTCCTCCCCAGTCGCTGCATGCATGCTCAGTGTGAGGGATTGCTGTAGAGCCAACAAATTAAAGGAAATAACCAATGCTCATCCAGGAAGAGAGAATCCTGCAAAGTCAATGACTGGATGCAATCAGCTAGTTTCAGCTAGCAACCCGCGGCTCAAGAGGCTCCCTGGAGCTATTTCAAAAATGTATGAAATTGATTTTTTTTTCTTTTCTTTGTTTTAAGATGGTGTACAGGAGGTCAAACGAACATTAGTTATGTTTGTAATGCTGTAAAAAAAAGTAGACTAAATACATTTAAATAATAAATGTAAACATTTCTGTAAAGGAGGATTTGACTGATAGCCTGCAACATCTTTCAGCACGGTGCAATGCCAGGCACGTGGCTGTTGTAAACAAAGTGGCGGGCGCGTCCATGGATCCCAAACGGAAAAAAAGCAAGATAGCCGATGAGAAAAGAGGATTCAAATAAGAATGGACTGAATAATTTGCTTTCATTACCAATGCGGAAGGATTGCCTGCATGTTTGCTTTAAACGAGAAGTTTTCAAATAATAAAAATCATTTGGAAAGGCATTTCCAGGGAAGGCATGTTAAGTATGCAGCCCACCACCAAGTTGGGAGTGAGAGAAAAAGTATGATTGCAGAACTTCTGGAAAAGATAAATTTAAGAAGTGGATTGCAACTCCAAACTCCACTAATTCTGCTAGTTTGGTTTCAAGCACAAAAAAAACGTTCACAGATCCAACAAGTAGCTCTCTGATGCAGGGATGGGAACTTTCTTCTTCCAATAAATCTGAACTGATGTTTAAAGTCGTAGTGAAGCGGCTGTTCCAACAGTTGCATTTCCGAATTCTCCCGAGTGGTGCCCGACTTTACATGAGTGAATAAAGTGAATGTGATTGGTCATTTATCAAGGGGTCGGGATTCTTGTGGTGGAAGGTTCGCAAGCAAGTTTGGTTTTAGCCGGTTTGTCGGAAGCATCTTCCTCACCAGTTAGCAACTTAGTGCTAGTAGGTTCCCAATGGGAAATTACACTGGGATCAAGTAGCATTTAGCAACGACACTGTTAAGGATGGACAGAGGAAACATGCAAGAGGAGGAGAGTTTTGTATCGGAGGTAATGGAGGAGTCTCCTCCGTCATACATTTTTTATTTAGAAGAAGAAAGCGAGGATCAGGTTGTTGTGGAAGAGGACGCCAGGGTGGCAGAAGCTTGGTTTGGTGTAGAAGGCTTACAGCCGTACATGTTTGAGCCCTTGCCTCTCAACGCTGCCAGTTCTGTTAGCTCTAAGCCTGCCGAACACACAGACGTCCATCCCCGTGAACACTTGAACATAACTCAATGGTACAGTAAATGATTCTTATTTCAACTGTTGCGTATATTAGCTGCGACATCTGAATAAAGATGCTATGACCAAAAAAATGTAATTTACAGATGACCGTTGATATATGATTGGCCGAATTAAGGTGTACAGGCTGACGTATAATTAACTGGCCTGCATAAGATAACGGGGGAAAAAAACTGATTTTAAGACAGAAATGTTCTAACTTTCGGGACAATATCGTCTGATAAAGAGTACATTTTAGTTTAAGCCAGAATGATTTGACATTTAAATATCACTTCCGTACGACTTTAAAATATTTCCCTATTGATGAATTAATAGTTTAACACCTGAAGTGAAATTCCTGGTAATCTGTTTAGTTTTAATCTGTAAAGATTATCACCTGTCCTCTATAGGATCAAGCTGGTAGCATAGTATTAGTATGCCTATAAGCATTGATATCTGACCTTAAATTCCTGTGTTTTTAAGTCAGGAGGCTGAGCTGATTCGCTGAAGGTGGCAGTTAAGGAGCGTTTCTCTCACTACATCATGACCTTAGAGGAGGCACAGGCTGCAATTTCACAGCAGCCTTTGTTTGCCCCCCAGAATGAAGCCTTACAGGATAATAAGCACTTTAAGTCTGCTACTCTCACAACACCGAAGACATGCCTGTCACAACACCCTGACACAGGCGGGGGGAGAGAGAGAGGCTGCAGGAGAAAAGGGTGGAGGGGGGGAGTCAGCTGGATCTGTCAAAGCCACACTTTTTGTTTCGGTCCCCAGGTTCTCTCCTCCGCAGCGGACTGAATTCGTCCCATCTGCAGCCGTGGAAACAACGCTGATTACACAACTGGAGTCAGATAATCCATCTCCGTGTCTGTCCATCCTAACCGGGTGGTTCACTGGCTGAATCTTGAGACGATTCTGCTCCTGTCTTTGAGTGAACTCTCATATCGTCTGTCTAAACCTCTTTTATCCCTATCGCTTATGCAAGCCTTCAGTCTCTAAGCAGAGTGTCAGACGGAGTGAAA